TGTCGTCTTCTGAAGTCGTTGTATGGTCTTCGTCAAGCACCTCGGTGTTGGTATTTTAAATTGGCCTCTCTTTGAAACGGTACGGATTTGTGCAATCGTACTCTGACTATTCTCTTTTTACTCTGCAATTTGGGTCTATTCAGCTTAGTGTCCTGGTGTATGTTGATGATTTGATAATTTCTGGTAATGATTCTTCTGCGATTTCACTGTTCAAGACATACTTGAGTGATTGTTTTCATATGTAAGATTTGGGTGTTTTGAAGTATTTTCTTGGTGTTGAGGTTGCTCGTAGTCCGGAAGGCATATTTTTATGTCAACGGAAATATACACTTGACATTATTGCAGAGTCTGGTTTTCTAGGTGCTCGTCCGGCAGGTACTCCTATTGAGCAGAATCATTCTCTGGAGAAATCAGGGTCCCCTTTCTTTTCTGATCCAGATCTGTATCGACGGCTTGTGGGTCGTCTGATTTATTTTTCTTTTACTAGACCGGATTTGTCATACGCGGTGCATATTTTGTCTCAATTTATGCAATACCCGCGACAGGATCATTGGGAAGCGGCTCTTCGCACAGTACGGTACTTGAAGGGATGTCCGGGTCAGGGAATTCTTTTGAGTTCGGATTGTGATTTTCATATTACAGGTTGGTGCGATTCAGATTGGGCAGGTTGTCCCTTGTCGCGCCGTTCTATCACTGGCTGGTTGGTGTTTCTTGGTGCTTCTCCTATATCTTGGAAGACTAAGAAACAAGAAACTGTGGCCAAGTCTTCTTCTGAGGCCGAATTCCGCTCAATGTCTAAAACTACTGATGAGTAGAAATGGTTAAAGGCCCTTCTTCTGAGTTTGGGTATCTCGCATCCCCGCGCTATGAGTTTGTTTTGTGATAATCAATCTGCTTTGTATATTGCGAAGAATCCGATTTTTCATGAGCGTACCAAGCACATTGAGGTGGATTGTTATTATCTTCGTGATACGATTCAGGATGGTATAATTAGTCCGTATTATGTCAAGACGACGGATCAATTAGCAGATATATTCACCAAGGCTTTGAGTAAAAGTCAATTCCTGTATTTACTTGGCAAGTTGGGCATTTGTGATTTGCATGCTCCAACTTGAGGGGGGGTGTTAAGGCCTATTATTATTGTGTATATTGTATAGTTATCGGGCCTATCTCATGAGCCCTAATCTTAGGTTGTATATATACGCTTCTCTACACTCTAATGAAACTACGGAAAAATCTTTTCGTGACAACTCGTAATTCGGTAATTGCTAATTTTTCCATCTAATGATGTAGCTTTGATATTAATTTTTGCTATTCCATATAAATATATAATACACCCTATTGTTATGGTTCTTTGATTAATTGATCCATCACTTCAAATACGTTTTATGTATTTGTTGAATTTCTATAATTAATTTCACTCTATTATTTGGTTACTATAATAATATTGCTGCAAATATTTAATTACTCCCTCCGTTCCTAAATTACATTCCTCTTTCTAGCATTCATTCCTCATATAATAAAGAGAAAGAGGAATGTTATTTAGGGACGGAGGAAGTACTTGATTGCAATTTTTTGAAATTCTATAGAAATTGCTGCTATACAAGTATATTATTATTTTTCCATCAACTAGCTAAGTTATTAATTAATTTTCCTTGTTACTTAGCATTAATCTTTGGTAATATAAATAGATATAAAGTACAAGATTTATTTCTATTTATCACTTTGAATTTGCTATTAGATCATACACCTTTAAAATCCAGTAAACTTGTCTTGAAATCACATATTATACAACATGCATACTCATGTGAGTATGTTGTTATGATTGTATAATTTAACAATTCTTATTTTTGTTTTTAGGGTAGATCATAGAGAAGTAATAGTAATGGTGTAGAATTGTAGATCGATGAACATTTAGATAGGATTAGTAATTTACAAGATACACTTCTATCCCTAATCTTTTATTTAATTCTATATATCTTTCCAGTTAGATGAGGTTTGTAATTAGATAAATTTTAGATATTTTGTAGAAAATTATTGATAAAACAATATTTTGTTTGAAGTGAGGAAATCTTAATTTTTTTTTATAAACATGGTCTCTTTTACTAGCAACTAATTGGTATAAAAAATTCAATTGTTGCATATAATATGAAACAGATATAGTATTGTCGGATTTTGCCTTTTATTTTATATTGTTATAACACTATTAGTTTTTTCAATATATAAATGTTGGAAATAGTAATGCAAACGGATGACTTGCGCCCGATCGGGCGGAGGTGGTCAAGGAAAAATAGAGATCTCTCGCGCCCAATCGGGCGGGCTTCGCTCGACCGGGCGGCGGACTCAAGTTTTGACGAGCCCGATCGGGCGGTTTTGCCCGATGGCTCGCCCGGAATGGGGATTTCATATCGCTCAATCGGGCGGTGTCCGCCCGACCGGGCGCGACACTACGTCTGGAAAAACTTGATCTCGCGCCCGATCGGGCGACAGCTCGCCCGATCGGGCCCGCCTTTTTCCTATGTCGGTTTGTTTACGTGTTTCCTTTTTCCAAGACTCATATAAATACGAGTCTTACCTTTTCATGAGATTTATTCACTTTCTAGCCGAAAACACAAACCTACCTTTTGAGATCTGAACAGTTCTTGAGCAATTCCACTCTTCGAGTTCGGGTGCACGGATTACGGAGAGAGTTGCGTTAAACTTGGGGGGCGTGCGTCATTAGGAAACCTGTACCAGTGGTGGCGTATTTCGCTTCTAAGGCAGTGGATTTTGTTCCACGGCGCGACTGTGAGTTTGAGATCTTCAATCAAGTATTTTCCCTTTCATCTTCTCTATTTTGCTATTGGAATCAACAGGTATTTACCAACAATTTAGAAGCAAAATATATTAAATTTCTATACTGTTGATTTCTTGAATTTGGGAAAAATATTGTTTTGGAGATTGAGATATTAATCATCGTGTACTACTCGAAAAAGAATAATATTTGTTTAGGAACTCTTTTGGATTTATGATAAGTGTTTTATTTGTCCACTTATCATGGCTTTCTAAACACAATTTTGTACTCTTTCCCCTACTTTAATCCCTTTTTCTAACTCCTCTTGTGCTAATTTGCATCTTTTGGCTTCCCCGTTTCTTTTTATGTGTGTGCTCGTGCTTTTAGGTACAATGAAAAATGGGCTAAATAGCATAAGCATGAAGAAATACTCTTTGGAAGCAAAGGAAAGCAGGAGCGGGCTTGCACCTAAGAAGGAGCGGGCGCTCCTACCTTAACTGCCACATTCTGCCTCCCCCTGCACATATAGGAGCGGGCGTGCAACCTTCAAGGAGCGAGCGCTCCTCCCTGTTTTCCTACATTCTGCCCCAAACTGCTGCAAGAGGAGAGAGCATGCAGAGAGCCCAGGAGCGGGCGCTCCACACAGAGGAGCGGGCGCTCCTACTTACTGGAGCGGGCGCTCCTCCTGTTCTGAAGCCCGATTTTGACGGATTTTACGATGTAATTTTTGGGCATATAAATAGGACGTTTGACTTCAGATGGGGGGATCTTCTTTCCCTTTTAGTTTTCTTAGGCCCTTAGTTTTTCTCAACCCTCATTAATTAGCTTAGATCTTCTCAAACTCAATCATTGTAGTAGATTAATTGAAGATTGTTCTCTTGAATTCAACAATTTCTCAACTTTGAAGCATTTTAAGTAATCTCTTTCCTCTATCTCTTACTCTTTAATTTCAGTTTTTATTAACTTTGAATTGTTAATTCCTCTCTTAATCTTGCTTAATTGTTGTTGCATGTCCAATCTACCTTATTCTTACTACTCCTCTCAACTTGTTAATTTAATGTTTGAATTGGAACTTGTTATTTTGATGTCCTTCACCATGTTTAGTGAGTAGTTAATTAGCTAGGGGTTTGGTGAAGACCCAACCAAGCCATGGGTTGATTGATGTATGTGCTTGCATGTTCATTTTGGGTTGATGATTGATTGTTAAAGAATTGGTTAATTGCATGTGTAATTGGATGGCCACTTATTGCTCATGTATTCACTTCTATGCTTACGTTGAGAGATGGAGTCTAGTTGTGAGCCTTTTCTCATATGATTATGCTAAATTCCTCTTGATTACGGTCCCTTGTTTGAATGATGTAGTAGTGTTAGTTGCAACAATTAGGTGAGAAATCTCAATTGCTTGTGCCTTAATGCTTTCTTGGACCGATCGAAAGACAAACCCGAGTTAGTAGTCTACTTCTCATCGTTAAGACTTGGTTGACCTATCTTATTAGTTGAGTTTGGTTTAGGAATGCTTAGTGTTGTGGCTTCGAAAGAAGGCAATGTTGAGTGCCCTCTCTATCACCCAATTTGTGTTAGTTCATGCTTGCCTATTGTTTTGATCCGTTGGTTTGGTTGGAGTCGATCCCTATTTCCCCCTAGTGTTCGTCTCCATAGTAGTTACCTAATCAAAACCCCCAATTTGTGACCGAATTAGATTGCAACCGTTTCATACTCTCAGTGTACTTACCCATTCCCTGTGGATACGATCCTCTACTTACCCTAGACTTTTCTTAGGTTGTTCTAGGTAGAAATATTGTTTGGCTTGAGGGTGATTGTCCAACGACCGATTATTCCTTCTACCAAAATGGCGCCGTTGCCGGGGAATGGCGTTAAGCATTGAGTTACTTATGAGATATGTGAGACTAGTTCATTTGTATAGCTTTATTTTTCTTTATTTTCTTTGACTAACCTACTAATCTCCCACCTAGTCTTCTTTGTTTATGCCCAAACGCAGCAATAGGACACTTCCTCTTGTGCCGTTGAATCTGGAGCTTGAAAAAGTGGTAAGGGCAAATCGAAGAGAAAAGAGGGCGATAATATAGCTAGTGGTGCTACATTAAGTGAGCCACGAGTGGTAGTGGAATCCGATCACTCTAGTTCTAGTGAGTCTAGTGGAGACACCATTCCATTAGAGTCACCAAGGATAAATTCTCCAACTTCTTCACCTTTTCAAGACTTTTAAATGGTCGCTCCGAACAAGACTTTGAGAGAGTTTGGTGTTCCTCCTCCATATCAAGAAGCAAGTGGGATTGCTACTCCCGCTATTGAAGCAAACAATTTTGAGATAAGGCCCGCCCTTATCACCTTGATTGAGGGTCATCAATTCTCCGGGGCAAAGCATGAAGATCCCATTGCACATCTCAAGCAATTCACACGGTATTGTAGCACCGTGAAGGCAAATGGGGTGTCTCCGGAGTACATTCTCTTAAGTATGTTCAAATTCTCTTTAACGGGCAAGGCAAGTGATTGGCTTGATAGGTTGCCTCCGAACTCATTGAACACATGGAATGAGGTGACTTCGGCATTCCTCGGGAGGTTCATTCCTCTTGGGAAAACGGTGGAGTTGAGGTCCAAGATTTCGAACTTTCAACAAGAGCCCGATGAGTCTCTTTATGATGCTTGGGAGAGATTCAAGAGCTACCAACAAAAATGCCCCCACCATGGCATGGAAGATTGGCTCTTGCTCCATGGGTTTTATAGAGAACTCTTGAGATCGGACCGCATACTCTTGGATGGAGCATCGGGAGGACCTATCATGAACAAGCCACCCATGGAGGCACTAAAGATCATTGAGGATGTAGTTCAAAACTACACCGATTGGATCCCCGATGAGAGGAGCACTTCCAAGAAAGGAGGAAAGTACGAGGTAAATGCTATAAACATGATTAACTCAAAATTAGATGCTTTATCTTCTAAGTTTGATCAATTGCAATCCTCTTCTCTATCCCCTTCCCCACGTCAAAATTCACATGCATCTAGTTCATTAAATGAAAACATGTCAATACAAATGATGTCTTGTGATACTTGTGGAAGTGATGATCATGTGACTTCGGAATACTATTTGTCAAATGATTCATGTTTCCCTTCCCCTTCCATGGAACAAGTAAATGCAATTAACAATGGTCAAACCAATCCTAGGTATGACCCTTATTCCAACACCTATAATGAGGGATGGAAACATCACCCAAACTTTGGTTGGAAAGGGGGCCAAACCCAAGGAAATGGTCAAGGTCAATATAGTGGCCAAAGGAATGTTCAAAACAATAATCAAGGAAATTATAGGAACCAAGGTAGTGGTAACTATGTGTCAAACAACCAAGTAAATCAACAAAATGACAATAGGTATCACCAAAGAGGTCAATATTCGTCCAACAACAAACCACCCGGTTTTAATGGAGGAAATAAACCTACCCTTGATCCTATCCCTCAACCTCCTCTTCAAATTCAAGCTCCCCCTCCTAAGTCAAGCCTAGAAATAACAATGGAAAAATTTGTTAATGCTCAAACTAAGAAAACCAATGACTTAGAGGAGACTATCAAGCAAGTGCAAGTCCACAATAAGATGCTAGAAACTCAATTAACTCAACTAATTAATGCACTTAAAAGCAACAATTCTAGCACCTCTTCACCTAGTCAAGAAGAACATTGTAAGGCAATCATGACTAGATGTGGGACTAGCATAGATGAAACTCCACCCATGAGCTTGCAAAAAGAGAGTGACAATGAGGAGGTTGGAGAAGAAAAACAATTTGAGGTGTCTAAGTTAAGAGAGGATGAGATAGTTGGCACGAGTGAGTCCACCACGGTGAGCTTAACCGAAAATTGTAGTGCAATTATCAAAAACCACTCTCCCACTAAACTAAAAGATCCCGGAAGCTTCTCCATTCCTTGCTCTATTAAGAACACTTCCTTTGAAAATGCCCTATGTGATTTAGGAGCTAGTGTGAGTTTGATGCCTTTCTCGGTTTATGAGAAGCTTGGTATTGGTGGTTTGGTACCCACTAATATCACTCTTCAACTTGCCGATGGATCCACCAAATTCCCTAAGGGTAAGGTAGAGGATGTCCCTCTCAAGGTTGGTAATTTCACCATTCCGGTTGATTTTATTGTGCTAGGAATGATGGAAGATGCCCTCACCCCTATTATCCTAGGTCGACCTTTCTTAGCAACAGGTGGTGCAATAATTGATGTAAGGGAAGGAAAACTCACATTAAAAGTGGGTGATGATGAATTTTGTCTTATTATTGACCCCAAGAGAGGATGTCCTTCCTCCATAAAAGATTACATGACCTTAGATGCTATTGGTGGTAATGATTTGCATATGTTGAGAATGCTTTGTGCTACTGTAGGGAATAATTTCAAGCCTTTAAAATCCCACTAGCTTGAACCCCACTGTGATCATACACTAAAGTACGGTGGCGTCCAAAAGGGAAGAAGATAGAGCAAAAGAGTCGCCAACAAGTTTTTAAGGAACTTGTAAACCGTTCACGAGGTGAAGGTTACACCCCTTAACGATCCAAGAGATCGTCAACTCCATAAGGTCATGAACCAAATAAGGGTTCGGGGATGATGGTACAAATCCAACCTAAAAGAGATTGAACCTGCCCTAATAATAGGCATCCACTTTATTCTGATCGTATTCATGTGCGCTTTCTGACTAACATACAATCAATAGGATTAACCCTAAACCTGTTTAATCTATGTTGGTTGAATATTAATGCACAAATAAACTATTATTGGCGATCACTTGAATTATAATCACAATTAACCCTAACAAGATTATTAAATATCTTATTAAGCGTGGTTACAAGTACAAATTCCCTTTTAAACATGCATAAAAGGTGTGATCAAGAAATAAATAATAAAGCAACATAATAAATAATCAACATCATGATAATAATCATCATAGATAAAATCAAAACAATAATAATCATAAATAAAATAATCATCATCAAAATAGTAATAATAATCATTATAACAATTATAATCATAATCATGTTCATGTTAATATTAAAGCATAATAAAAATAGCAAGATCCTAGACATGATACTAACAAGATTAATAACAAACCCTAGCATGTCACTAAGCAATAAAAATCAAATCTTTAACCCTAACATGATACTAACAATAATAAATATTAGGAAGAACATAGGAAGCATCGTACTTTTAATCATACTTAATATTAAATTTACCCTAAACATGATACTAGGAATTAAAATAACAATCTAAGCATGATTTCTACATCATAATATCAATTAAACCATTAAAGTACTTACTTGGATGCCTCGTACCTCTTTCTAATAACAAAATACACACGTTAGTAACTTCAAGGAAAATAATAATCAAACAATTAAATTAAATAATTGAAATAGAGATTTGGGACCAAACCCTCAGAAATTAAAACCTTTCACGTCTAGGGCGAAAGCAACTTCGAATATAGCTAGCTGTTTCTAGATCTTGTGAATGCGGAATTATTTATTTGAGAAAAGGCTAGTTTAGAAAACGAGAGAGAGAGAGAATAATCAAGAAAATCTTGATGAGAGTTGGTGATTGAAAAAGGGGAGATATGACCTCTATTTATAGGAAAAAAGAGGGCCGAAGATTTAAGAAAAGAATCCAAATTCGAATCGAAATAAGACTCGTAGACAGCAGTTTTTGCGGATTTTGTTTTTATCATATCTTTTGATCCAGGAATCGGAATAAGATGAATAAGATGTCGTTGGAAAGATATTGAAGTATAATTTCTAACCCAATTAAAATAAGATTAAAATATGTTGTACAATAAAAGATATGAACGAAATAGTGACACAGTGTCAGTTTTGGATAGAGTTTGATATCTTATTCATATCTTTTCCGTTATAGCTCGGAATTATTATTATAATATATCATTGGAAAGATAATTTCAAGATATATCCAACCATATAAAATTTGGATAAAAAATATGAGTCACGAAAATAATATCTGACTGTCTTTGAACATGTATAAATCCGAATAGAATTAGGACTTTAAAAAAGGAAAGTTTTATAAAAAAAGGAAAGTTTATATTTAAATCAAATTCCTTAATCTTATTTTTTCAAAAAAGGATAATTAAGATATTTTAGAAACTTATAGAAGATTCTAATCAATCCTAATTAGTTTAGGAATAGGATTAAACCTTTGGACCCTCCCCATGATCATTGGGTCGTAGACAAAATCCGGTTTGGGCCTAGTTTAGTATTTTGGCCATAACTTCCTCATTATTCATCAGAATTGGGCTTATAATATATCGTTGGAAAGGTCTTTGCAAGCCCCATCCAACTACACCATTATTGGACCCTTATCATGGACCAAACTAAACTGGAATTGACGTTTTCATAAAATAGAGTGGGTTTTCGAAAACAGAAAGAAAGAATTTTAACAAAAACTAACCGCAACACTAGACTTTTCACACTTTCACCTCATTCGATTATGGTTCAACGTGAAAGGTATTCATCACTGGGTTTGGTTTTGGGGAGACACAAATGGGTGTCTACAGAAGCCCCCACTTTGACTGAGTTTGGAGAAACGCAAGTTTCGAAAACAAAAGTCAAAGTATCGATAGGGACGGAGAATGATTCAGAACGTTCTGCGATCCTAAATCAATATTATAACGCCGATACCTGCAAAACTAGCATTAGTTAAACAGATAAAAGAGTTAAGAAATGCGTATCTTGCACCGTCGAGCACACGTCTCTGAAAGTAACCAATTTGCTGCCGCTTTACTGTTTTGATGACCTCCTGCAAGCTAGAGATTATCAACCCGCTTGAAAACCGCTATGCCCGTAACTGCTTCCAAATTAGAAGATTGCTTCGCCTGAAACTATCCTCCTCCGCAATGATAATATTCCACGTCCAAGGGAACATCATCGAAAATTATTTCACTTGAAATAATTCTCATCCGCGTTATGATCATCTTCCATGCCTCAGGAATTATGATCGAAGACAACTTCGCCCGAAATTACCTTCAGCTGTTCATGAAAACTTTCCGCAAGCCAGGGAATGATGCCGAAGACATCTTCTCTTGAAGTCATCCTCATTTGATGCGATAATTTCCCAAAGGAAAATACCGAAGATCCACGCCTGTCGATCCTTAAAAGTTCGCCTGAACTTTGCTCGTGTTATGCCTGTACGTCGGCACTCTTTTGCTTTGAACCTGTACGTCGGTGCCCTTTGCTCTTGAACCTATATGTCGGTGCCTTTTGCTAATGAGCCAATGCTTAGGCGCTTTAAGCTAAGTGAGACGATCTTTTTATCAGGTCGATCACTTTACGTAATCAAGCCGATTACCTAATCATGTCAAATTTCTTAGAGGGACTAACTGGCGTACCAAGGAACCCAAAATATATTGCAGAAGGCTAGCACAACCTAAACAGGTGGCTGGCTGCTTTGGCGTCGCTGAAAAACATTCAGCGCCAGCCTTATGGCATTAGCGCCATGCGCTGGCATTGGCGTCTGGCGCCAAGCACAGAATGTGACGCCAATGACTAGGGATTGGCGCCAACACGGATTTTTCTTTAAATTCAGTTTTCCGTTTTATTTCTTGCTCTGTTCGTCGCGAAACAGCCCGAGAGAAGTCCGAAAACTTCAATTGATCGTTGCTCACTCATTTCTCAACCGAATTCGCTCAAATTTGTTGCAAATCAAAGCTCTTCTTATCCATATTCCCGATCTATGTAAGTTTTCCTCCAACTCACACCGGTTTTTTATGAATTTTTGGCATGTTCATTCACGAATTTCATGAAAATTCGAAACTTACAATGCTCAATTTGCTTTGTTTATCAAGTTTTATGCCATGAAATTGCTTGTTTATGTTTGTATATTGCCTTGGGAGTAATTTGAGACTTGTTTGACTCAATTTGGTGAAGAAACGAGCAATTGGACCTCTTAAGGTCGTGAAGAACAACATGACCCGTTCTTGATGTTTTTGCTAGCAATTCTTGTTCAATTTGTCACAATAATCACTATAGTGTTGCAAGAAATTGTTTGATTGCTTGAAAAAATGTTGTCATGCTCAATTTGAATTTGTGCTCTGTTTTAGTACTACGTACTCTGTTTTTTGCGAACATATTATCATGCGGCTAGGCGAACCTTTAGATACTATAGAACCTTAATTTATGATGATTCTGCACAATGTAGCATGGCTAGACAAAGAGGCTCAGGTTCACGGTCCCGAAACACTAGACGGGAGCATGAGCCCGTGGAGGACGACACTACACCGTCCACTTCGCTTGGTCGGTTCCCAGAGTGGGATGAGCAGACCTTGTTCTTTGCCCCTGTCCACCACATTTCCGAGAGGGTGAGACGGGGAACCGAGCCTGGGAGGACACGACATCACGACTCTGGCTGTGATGGTCTAGGCAATTTGTATAGGATGCACATTGCCAGAGATCGAGAGACGAGACTCCTATGGGAGTCTTGCGGACTGGTTGCCCTGTTCGAGACCTCCGAGGCTATGGTTGCCTCCAACGGGGGTCACCATGTAGTACGCGCTCTGGTGGAGTTCTTCTGGGACACCACCAACACTTTTCATTTCCCCTAGGGTGAGATGATGGTCACTCCTACAGACTTCAGTCTCATCACAGGACTGAAGTTCACTTCTGTGCCGCTGCCGTTCGACGGCGGTATCGACGTCTTTTCTCCAGAGGTCGAGGAGTTGTTGGGGCCGATTGTTGTTCGGGCCCGAGCTGAGGTCGAGACGACTCAGTTCAGTGCTAGGGGGATTCGCCGCTCGACGCTGGCAGCGGCTCTTGATGACGATGCGACCACCTGAGAGCAGCGGGTGCACATCTTTATACTGATGTTGTTGTTAGGGAAATTCTCCCCTAACAAGGGTAGTAGGGCGTTGCTTTACTACCTCCCTGCTGTTCGCGATCTCCGGCGGATCGAGACTTATGATTGGGCCAGCTTGGCCTACAATGACTTCGTTCGCGCTGAGGGACTCGTGTCGCCACCGGTCCTTTAGGACGAACATTGCTTTGTCTGCTTTCTGGAAAGTCGTAGAGGTAAACATTATTCCCTATAAAGTTTAGCCCTATATGTTAGTCAGCATTTACTCATGCTTTAGCTTTTTTGTAGATCTGGTTCTACGAGTATTTTCCTTCCATTGCGCCGGCGAGACCATCGCCGAAGGGATATCCGGTGAGCGCCTCTAGGGCGGCCACCATGTGGACCTGTCTACTGCATGCGTCCGGAGTCGGATCATCTCGGTACGACTTTTACTGTTTGCCTTGCTCTTCTGCGATGTTTTGGACATGTTCTTACCCGATTGGTATTTTTTATAGGGACCTAAGGTAGTATACCGACCATGGGGTGGATGGACAGTCCCTG